TCTGCTTTATTCTACGTAAATTAACATCCTCAGAAACTTTGTGACCACACGATTCTAGTACTTTGTGAATCTATTGGGTATCCAATTTCTCTCCTCTACATCGACACAGCTGAATCCCACCCATGGCTGAGAACCCTAATTGCACTATTTATGTTGGTATGTCTTTTTTTTTTCCCTCTCCTTATCTATGCCTTTTTTTACATGATTTTTATTCTTCATGCTCAGATCTAATGTTGCATCTTTCTTTTGTTTGATTTCTGAATTTATTTTCCTTTTTAATAAGCAAAGCAGCAGTTATTAGCTGTAAAGTGTCTTTTTTTTTTTTTGTGGTTATGTTTTCCGATTTGCTTGGTCATGTGTTTACGTTCTGGATTTTTGGGGTGGGGAGGTTGGGGGAGGAACAAATTTTAGCTTTATCTTTTTGGGGTTTTAAACTCTGAATGTTTAGCTCAGTTTGAGGATTTACTTCTAATTGTCCTCTATGAATACTATAATTGCAGATTGGTTATGTTTATGCGTGCAAATAATGTGGATTAACATATAAAATTTTAGTTTTACCTTTTCAATGAATTGTTTTGGCGGCGTTTAGCTTTGCAATGCTTAAATAGCGGAAAAACATCTTTTACAAAAAAGCTTCTTTTTTGTTCGTGAAGCAGTAAGAGTTCAGTTACAATTTTACCCTCCACCAAAGGTTTGTGACTGGGACTTGCTAGGCTACTTAGTTATCACCAATATATTAGTTTGGTTGAATTGTTTACTTAGTTGCATACAAGTTTGGTTAATCTGTGTTTATTATGATAGCTATTCTTGTTGAGGTTTCTCACATGGAAAGTCCAGGCTCTTTGCTTTTCTTATTGCATGTTTGAGTTATCTTTGGGAGAGTGCGTTTAACATATGCATTTCTGATTGATAGGAGATGTAGTTTGTGCTTTGTTGTGAATGATTTGCTAACATAGGTTTGAAACCTTTTTGTTGTAGGAAATTTGGACGAGAGAGTAAGCGATCGTGTACTGTATGACATTCTAATTCAAGCAGGGCGTGTTGTTGACCTGTACATTCCTCGTGACAAGGAAACTGATAAGCCTAAAGGTTTTGCCTTCGCTAAATATGAGACAGAGGAGATTGCAGACTATGCTGTGAAGCTTTTCTCTGGTTTAGTGACGCTTTACAATAGAACATTAAAATTTGCGGTAAGTCCTTGTTATCGGTCCCTTGAGCTGGCTAAAATTGTCAGTTTTATTGATATCGTTTGGTGAATTTATGTGTTCTGGTATTATAAGCTTCTGTAGCGCTTGCAAATCTAAGGTATGGGTTTACCTCCTATCCAACAGAACCAGCCTATGCATAGATAATAGATAATCTTGGCAGTGAGATGTTCTTCGGTAGAGATCCTCGGAGTGTCTATTGATGTTGACTTATGAATTGAGAGATACGACAGACATATGTTCTTTCAGTTAACACTGTGGGCTGGCAGTTGGAATTTGTGGTTTTGAGGAGGCAAAGTCTACAGAAGCATTTTGATTTGCTTATGTTGTGTATTGACGTTTAATTTTTCTAAACAGATATCTGGGCAAGACAAGCCCTCTAATAACTCATCAATTGCGACACCACCACCTACCTTAAATATCCCCTCCAGACCAAGGCCTCTTCATGTACCTTATAATGATAAGGAAATTTCACCAAATTCTGTGAGATTGTCAACTTCATGCCGGTTTTCAGAGCACCAAACTAACTTCACACAAGGTGATGCATGCTTTTTTAGTGAAGTCATTATTTTATGCTCTTAGTCCCTTTTTGTTTTTACTTTATTTTTGTTGAGTCTTGACTTACATGTTTATAATTGTTTTTTCTCTATTCAGTTTCAGTTCCTCCTGGTGTTTCAGTAAACCAATCTAATGGGTATAGATCGCCTTACGATGGATATAGATCACATTATGATGGCAACAATTATGATTACGGTCGAAGAGTATTTGGGGATGCTTTAAATAGTATAACACGCTCTAGGTTGGGCCGATATGATACACGTAACCCGACCAGTCATCCTTCTTATTGATATTTACCTTAGCTCTTGGTCTTGAGAGAGCTCTGACCTGTCTTCTTCTAAGTTGTGTAGGTGTATTGGTACTTTGGGGAGCTTGTGTGAGGTGCTTTAGATTTAGTTTTGTGTCTGTTTGTTGTTCATTGTTGCGGTAGTTTGTCTCCGGTTATGCTCCCGATGTCTGAACTCTTGAATCTGTGTGTTATTGTTCTTTAATGCATCTGTATAATATGTATTTCAGTGGCCAGAACTGCATCGTTGTAATTGTCTGTCTGAAAGGTTCAAAGATTTGGATCTTGCTTCTGCTATCTTTCCTCTTTCCTTCACTTACCTACTCAAGCGCAGCCCCAGCTCTCACCCCCTCCTCTTTTCCCTCAAAGATCTGTGGAGATGGACATATTTAGATTTTGCTTATTTGTGATGTGTGCATCGCTTATTGGTTCTTGGAGATTAGAGTTGCTTCCTATCGGTGTGTGGTATGACGTTATGAGCTTTGGCATGTATGTATACTGATACTAGAATAGATGTGCTGTAAGAGCAATTTCCTTTGCATCATTAAAAATTTAGCTCCTGAGTTTAAGGAGTGTGAATGCTCATTATCATATGTGAACAGCTGAGGAAACTATGTTCTTTTCCCTATCAGATTTTGTATAGTTCATGAAATTGCAGTCAGGTGTTCATTAAAGTGCTTTTCTCTTTATGTGAATGAGTGTTGTAAACCCTGGTCAATGAGTTGGCGTGCTTGCGTGTAAGTTTAACTAATATTTGGTTACGAACTCCACTGCTATGCACAAGTAGTTATATAACTTGCATGGATGAGATATTCTAATGTGTTGGTTTAGTTTTTCTACTATTTGGAAGATTTTAATATCTTCCTTTTTAGCATTTGTCGAATAATTAATTAATCAACTAAACTAGTTGGGGTGTGCAGAAGATAAACCTTGGGCACTTGGAATAAAATTGGATGAGATGAGGATTGCCTAAAGACCATGTAAGGAGAAAACAATCCATTCCATCAACCTACATGAGATGCTCCAATACCAAAAGTTAACTCAAGTTAACATAATGAGCATGGACAACTGGGGGTTGATACTCCGTTAAAAAGCCGGACTTTGGCTTAACTCAATACCAAAAGTTAACTCAAGTGGGATGCATGAATCTTGGCCTAACTCAATTGAGCAATTCTAAAATTTACCTCTTGTTGGACACTTAAATCCCTCTTGCATGCCATATTGGATAACTTAGACCCCAATATTGGATAAATCAAGAATGGGATGCTCGGATATCATATTAAGATGGATGTATGGCCTAACTTAATCCCAACGCTAGCTCATGAGGTGAGAATTACGCATGACCATAAATGTGTTAGCCTCTTTCCTCAACCAGTGACGACTCTAACAAGGTATAAGAATCATCTTTTTTCATTTGTCTTGTTAGGGATTATCATAATAAAGTTATGTTTATTCTTAATCTCGTTGACAATCTATCACAATTTTCCTCCTTTAACCATTATGAGACTAGCTAAGCAAATCTCATATATGGGTTTCTTGTTGGTTGTATAAATTTGTACTCCAGTAGACATAGGTAGTAAGGGAGGTTGCATAATAACCCAAAACTTTAAGGGGTCGTTTGGTATGAGGTATAAGAAGGTATAGTACTGGTATAAAAATTTAATACCACCTTAATACTTTGTTTGGTTAGCAAACCTGGTATAAGGTATTTCGGGATTAAAATTAGTACCGGGGTAACTTATACCTTGTAGAGGGTGGGGTAATTAGTGCCGGGATAACTTATACCTTCTTAGAAATTATGCAATTGTCATTTTTAATACAACATACCAAACAATGGATAAAAAACAATACCAGGATAACTAATCCCAGCATAACTTATCCCGACATAAGCCGTATTCAAACCAAACGACCCTTAAGGCAATAGATGGAGTGTCAATAGATGGAGTGTCTGAATATCAATGAAAAAATAGATGGAGAGTCACAATGTTTTTCTATAAACTCTTTTGGATGTCCTCTTATACAAAAAGGTGGGACAACTATATAACTCAAATCCCTCATACATGTGTAATCTAATTTGGGGTTCACACGTGGATCTTAATGTGGACTTACAAGTGTGAGAGTGTGCTTGCTATAGGTCGACTCTAACATGTGAAAGAATTTGAGTATCCAGTACAATTTTAATACAATTTGTGAAGCAGTCTAATAGCCTGTTTGGCCATACTTGTATAATCAAATTGCTTTTCAAAAAAATACTTTTTGTGAGAAGCAGTTTGTGTTTGACAAATTAATTGGAAAAACACTTTTGAGTAGTATCTAGTGTTTGACCAAGCTTTTAAAAGTGCTTTGAAGTGTGTTTTTTCTCAAAAGTGCCTTTTGGGGAGAATCTACTTTTTTCTACTTCTCCAAAACTGCTTTTGCTTCTATTCAAAAACACTTTTTTTTTCCTTCTAAAAGTTTGGCTAAACACTTTTCGCCAAAAAAGCACTTTTCGCCAAAAAGAAGCTTTGGCCAAACAGGTTATAAGACATTTCAAATCACTTCTATGCTCTTTTATACCAGATGTGGAACAACTATGTAACTGTAAACTAAACTGTTTGTTGAAGGAACTTGATTTGAAAACTATAATGTCTGATACCAGTGGTAAGAATGAGTTGCATCAATGTGAACCTCCAATATGTTGGTTCAGCTTATTACTACCTTCTTTCCCCCTTTAGTATTGTGTCTTTTTGAATTATTGGTTTAGGAATATGTTTGTTCCTGTATTTTGAGAATTTGGTGTTCCTTTCTGGTTGCTTAGTACATTTATATGTGATGAGTGCTATTGATGTGAATTGTTTAGTATGCTTACATGGAAAACCTTTGGGAAGTAATTATTAAGATGGTGGACATTGCTTACTTTTATTAGCATATACTTGATAGCTGATTATATAGTGATCGAGGAGAATGTGACAGATGAGTCAGCTGTATGTATCCATTTGGAACTATCATGAGTCTGGGTTTTCCATCCGTTTGGAACTATCATGAGTATGCTTGGTCCATCTATTTGGATGTGCTTTTACTACTTTCTTGACATGACTAGAAAGCAGCCCAATATTTTTGTTCTTTTTCTCCTTTCTCTTAGGGGTGGGGGATTGGGGTGAGAATGGGGAGTGTTTTCTGAAAGCCAAAACCTGTGTATTCAATGATTTAGACTTGTCCTAATTTTAACATATGGGTTTAATTATTTGAATATGGGCTTGTTTGTAACTGAAATCATTTTGAGAGGATGGGAGTTTATAGGATCAATATTACTTCAGTTTCCTTCCTTTCTTTTTGTTGTTTGTTTGTATCCATATGAAAATGCACCCCTGATGAAGTTCCAAATGTGTAAATAGCAAAGGCAGTATCAACAGCCTATGGTGGCTACACAGTGAAGGATTATCTAGTTAAAAGTTCTTGTTGATTTTAATGCAAGAAGTAGATGGAGTGTTCTTGTTAGTATTCTTATTTTAAGTACTTTGATTCAATTGTTCAACTGGTCTGCTTATTTGAAATTCTGGTATCCATGCTGCAGTACGTTTACTTCGATGATTATGGACCTTGTTCGAGTACGTGGTTAAGATGAGATGAACTGTTTCTCTTCTCTTTAATCGGGGCATTTATATGTTTTGAAGGCGGGAAACAAAATCTTAGAGATCTTCTCATTGTCCATGTTGTACATTATTCTTAAAAGTTGAATTTCCTGTTTACCCCCTTTTCCAATCTATTAAGTTCCAGTTTTCTCACGAGTCACGATTTATAATTCTCTCTGCTTGTTTCCCCTCTTGTGAGTACCCGACTTCCTCTTCGCTACCTTCAAGCACGCCTGTTCGTTCCAAACCTCGAGGAGCTTAGTAATCCTCTCCTTGTATATGGAACAATTGCTGCTGCTTCTCTGTAGGGTCCTCCCGAAAACTATATTGTTCGCTTCCACTTTTATGTTATAAGGATGGGAGGCTAATTGGTTTCTGTTCACAGCATTGCATTTGTCCAACCCACCAATGGGCTAGTGTCTATCTGCTTTGGATCCATCACCTCTCTAATCTGTCTGATCCAATTATCTGAGGTAGGATTGAAGTGGTGTTGACTGTTTTTATTGTAACAAGTAGGCAATATTTCTGCAGTTGCCACTTAATATATTCAGAATATATCAGAAATACTCATTTGCTGTACTCTTATCATCGCGTTAAGCTTGAGGGTGAAATAAATGATCATGTTTTCTCAAAGTTCGTCCTTTTTCCATCGTTATTTCTGTTATTGTGCCCCTTTCCCCTCCTATTCCTCCTACTTGCTGATCTTATTTGCCTTAATCCTCAATTGGATCGTGTCTCATGCTTCTACCCCTCCACGTTTTCTTTCTTAGCTTTGGGAGTACACTTGACTAATTATTTTGGTAGGCTCCCCGTTCTCCTGTCTAATTTTTGCTCCTTCATGGTTTCTGTCAACTTTCTTTTGAGGTTGGCCTTTGGTCTCATCAGTCTTGTATATGTTCTTGCGAGAAGATAACTTGTGGTGTTGAATCTCCACCTCCCCGTCCCCCTCAAAAAAAAAAAAAAGGAAGAAAAAGAATAAGAAAAACGATGGATAGATGGGAAGCTAGAAAAAAAAAGGAAACGGTAAGGCCAGCATACTTGTGAGGGTGCCGCAATATTCTTAAAAATAGGTAAACAAGTTAAGTGAAACTTGACCAAGGCAAAATATATGAAGCAATTAGGGAAGTTCAGTTTAGGAGCACTCTGCTCTAGGTTATATAGCCATTAAGCAAAAATATAATCTAATGGTACTGCTACTTTTAGAGGTTCAAGGTCGTGAAAATTGCCGTCTACTTTTCATTGTATCAGAAAAGTCTTTCTATTACATTAACGACAGAGCTTGCTGGGACTTGGATTTAAAAAATAACTTTTATTGAGGAGAAGAATATGAGAGGTCGTTTGAAAGTTTCAACGCCTCTTTTTTAGAGCCCGTTTGGACGGAAGATTTTTTTCAACTTTTTTCGAATTTTGTTTACTTTTTTTTTTCAAAATCAGTGTTTGACTATAAAAGTTTTAATTTTCATTTGCAGATAAATTTTGGAATTTTTCAAAAATTTTAAAAAATTATTTTTCAAAATTCTCTTAGATCACTCACAAAACTTTAAAAATAACCCAAATTATATTTATGTCCAAACACAATTTTAATTTTCAAATACTATTTTCGCTTGAAATTTTTTTTAATTGTTTTTGAAATTTTACAATTGTTATGTCCAAACGCCCAATTAGTTGTTGGTAGTGACGGCAAGTTTTGTACTTTGCACTCAAACGTGTTTTTGTGATTTTTGTAGACTTATCGTAGGTCCAATTTAAGAAGAAAGTTTCTGAGCTAGTTCACATTTTATGAGGTGATATTGTAACTTTTGCGTTGATCTTAAATGGCTAGGATTTCACTAAGTTTTCTGCTTGTGTAATTTTTCCTATTTAATTATCAGATGTCTTCTGCTAACTATTCTCCTATTCCGACATAGTTCCTGTAGTGGCCATGTTAAAGTGTAAACTTTCCGTATTAGATGATTGCCAAAAGAGTAGTGCATGTTTTATACAGCAGTAACAGTAGATATTGATGTTTCGGCTGGTTTCGTTGAAGGTGGAATTAGAGGGAGGTCTACTTACATAAACATTGATAAAGTCAAAATAGACTGCCATTACCACCAACTTTTTGATATTACTAAGTACAGTAAACAGGACATCATCATATTGGATGGACAAAATAATATGCCAACTAATACTATTCAGCCTCGCTAAGCATTTTCTAAGTTAACTATTTAATCCCTCTGTTGGAGAGTACATCTAACCTAAATTACCAAAATTCTTAAGTCTTTTTGAAAATTATCCTCAATTGTACATCGTTATGCACAAAATCGGGAAGCTTTTATTCAACTTTTATTTTATTAAGATATGTGCATTTTGAAACCTTTTTGTTTCTGTGAATCGATTGCTTATTACCCACCTGCTGTGTGTTAAATGTTAATTAGTGCAGTAGCAAAAAAGAAAAATCACAAAAACTATTTAATACCTGAAGACTTCGTAGATTACATTCAAGAATTGGGGACTAGAAACAAATGAAAATGAACTGCAACAAAGTAAACTGAAGGGATAAGGGTATCGGTCTTGACAATAAATAGACTAATTCCTTATGATGAAAAAAAGAGACTAATTCCTTTTAGTGGTAGTATTAGTTTACAATGGATAACTTATCATTCACTTTTCTGGAACGTCCGAGTTTGGTTTTTTCCCGAATGTCTTTTAAAGTCTCTAGACAAATGCTTGATAGAGTATCTCAACTTGTTCCAATTTCTCAAGGTATCTGGTATATTTGTTGCCTTATCACTCACCTTAGTTATAAATTTTCTTGTAACGGGTTAAATAATACTATAATTATTTACTTCACAGCTTGACGGTAACAATTTCCCTTGATTTTTGCAGGTTACTAATTCTTCCTTTTGATGGTGATTTTATAGTTGATGTTGATGAAGGTCGTTGTGAAATGAGACATTGCTTGTCCTTTTGCCACGGGCTAGACATGCAAAGAACCCTGAGGTGTTGATCCAAAAGTTTACTCGTGCTTTGGTTCTCAAATTAGATGGGCTAGAATAAACCTGTTTAATGGACCGGGTTGACCCGGTTCCGGACCGGCCCAGACCGGTATTAAACCGGACCGGTGGTAGGGAGCCGGGTAGGGTTGGGTTTGGGGGTAAGGGGCTGGGTTTGGGTTGGGACGTTTACATTTTCCTTACCGGTTAACCGAACTGGTCAAACCCGGCCAAGGAAAATCACTGTTGAACCGGTTAACCGGACCGGCCCGGACCAGTTCAACGACTATTTTATGATTTATTTTTAAATTCATTTGACCGTTGGCAACTGTCAGCTTCCAATTTGACCGTTGCTCAGCGGATATTTTGCAAGAATGGCCCCTTTTTTGGGTAATTTTTTAAAAAAATAACACTTTTAGTAATTACTAATTTAGCACTTTGAAAAACTATAAATACCTCTTCTTCATTTCTTCACTCATCTCTCATTTCTCAAACTCAAATTCTCAATTGTCATTCTCTCATTCTTCACCTAAATTGCAATAAACTATTTGGCTCTCTTTTTTTTTGGAATTTAATTTATCGTATTATTTGAAGCTTGAAGTTTGAACTTTGAACAATTTACGTTTCTTCGTGGTAACATTGGAGTTGCGAAAATTATCAAGTGTTCAATTTATTGCGAAATTTGGTGCACTCCCTCCAACTCTCTCTCTTATTTACAATTTTATTTGCATATTTAATTTTTGTTAGTAATTAAATTTTCACAATATGTTTAATGCTGCAAAAAGAGTGTGTAATAAGGTTGCTAATCAGGGAAATAAAAAAAGAAGTACTACTTCAACATCTAGTGGTAATTTAAATGACTCTACACATGTTTCTGAAATATCACCTGATAATAATATAGATTATGAACAATTACAGGAAGATTTTGGTATAGAAGATAATGAATTAGAAATTGAAGATGAGACACCACTTACACATAGTAGTGTTGGAGTTGATAGCAGGGGTGGCGGTCGTGGCGCTAGTAGTAGACCACCTATGGCTCCGACTACTAATCAGAGGAAAAGAAGTAAAGTTTGGAAATATTTTGACGAAATAGAGAATTCTGATAGAGTTAGATGCAAACTTTGTAAAAATGATTTTAAACATAAGAGTGGAGGAAGTTTAGGGAGGACTGGAACACTTAGTAGACATATAAAAATTACTCATCCTATAGAATGTGGCTTTGATTTAGATGAAAATCAAGGAACTCTAAACCCTAGTACTGGAGGACTTATGAAATATGATAAAATGAAGAATCGTGAGGAGTTAGCAAAAATGATTGCTTTGGTTGTCCACCCTTTTCTTTTGCTTCTTCATCATATCTGACTATGTATATTCAAAAGATTTATAATCCCTTATTTAAAGGTATCCCTAGAAGTACTTGTTGATATGATATCTTTAGATTTCATGGACAATATCAGACATACATACGTTATTTGTTTGACCACCTTCCTTGTAGAGTTTCTCTAACTTCTGATATTGGACATGCTGTAAATGGAAATGATTATTTGACAATTACATGTCATTGGATAGATAATAATTATTGTATGCAAAAACGTATTATCACTTTTAAATATGATGAAGATCAAAGCCATACTGCTATTTTTATAAGTACTACTATTTGTGAAGTTGTTGAATTTTATAATCTTAATAAAAAGTATTGTGTATGTCTTTTGATAATGCTTCTAACAATAATGCCGCCATGTCAATATTAAGACTGCATTTGAAATCACCACTAGACGAAACTTTTCATGTTAGGTATGCATGTCATGTTTATAATTTAATTGTTAAAAGTGGTCTTGATTTATTTTCGACTGAGATTACTCATATTGGAAGAGCAGTTGGTGTTATTCAAGAAAATAATAGACAATCTAGAATTAAGGAATTTAAGACTAAGTATACAGAGCATAACCTTAAACCCAGATTCATGCCAGATGAAATTGTTACTAGATGGAATTATACATACTTATTTTAAAAATATTGCTACAAATATAGATTACCGATAACTGAAGTTGCTAATGTGCATTGTACTGATCCAAACCGTATGATAACAACTAATACTTGGGAGACCATTAATGATGTTCAGTTTTTACATAAATTTTATACAGCTACTGTTGTGTTTTCTGGAGCATATTACCCTACTGTTACTATGGATTTAGTACATATAACTGAAATTTCTTTTCTACTCTCTGAATTTAAGAAGAAAGAAAAAATTAAGGATGCTGTTGAAAAAATGCAAGCCAAATTCAAAAAATATTTCTTTCCAATTCCTTTTATTTACTTAATTGGTGCTGTTTTAAGTCATTCTATTAAGATGTCTAATTGTCACCAATTAATCCATGCTTTTTATACTTATATGGAGATTGGACCAACTGAAACCCAGATATATATTGTTGTATGAACAAGCTAAATGATTATTTACAATAATTATATAATTATTATGTAAATATAATTGATGATGAAGCTATTAATGTAGGCAATGTTAATCCTACTATGCATTGTGCTACTTCTACCATCTGCTACTAGGATGAAGATGAAGACATTAATGATTATAATATTTGGTCTACATTTCCTTCCACTCAAACCAGTAGCAGGAATATTGATGAACTTCAATTCTACTTCAAAAGCAATCAGGGTCTCGCACAAAGGAATTTTCACCATTGGGATGGTGGCATGAGAATGAAAAATAATTTCCTGTTCTTTCCGCTATGGCTCGGGACGTGCTGAATGTGCCAATTTCAACTGTTGCATCAGAGAGTGCATTTAGTCAAGCAAGACAACAAGTAGGAGACATCCGTCACTCATCGGGAAGCAATGCTTTGGAAGTTTTAGTATGTTTCAGAGATTGAATTAGATCGGAACGAAGAAATCAGGGGCGTGAAGATGTTGATAAACCAGAAGACAAGGAACTTGGAGATATATTAACACATGGTCATCCATCTGAATTTAACA